TTAGGGGGTGGGGGGGTTTATTATGGGGTTACGGCAGTAACTGAGCTCCTTGTGCTGAACAGCCTGCGCGTTCTAGAATGCCCTCCAGCGACTTCTCAGCCTCCCGAAGTGCATCTGTTTGGACAGTAGCAGGCCTATCTCGCCACACATGCGAGTGACAGAAGACAATCATGTCCCAATATGCAGCCACGTGATCTGCACGCGACATTACATCCGCTGGCATAGTCACACCCTCCGCCTGCGCGACCCTGTCAAACACCCTGCGGTCATTGGTTGATAGCCCAGCGTAAGTTGCTTGAAAGCTGAACTCCTCTTCAAAAGGCCCTGACACAGCAAACTCCCAGTCTAGCACGGACGTGATGTGCGGATTATCAGGGTGCGGGTCCACCAGGATGTTCCTGATCGACAGATCCGTATGCAGCAAAACAGGTTGGAGCCCGTCAGTGCGAGCTGCCATGTGGTTGTCGTCCAATCTGCTGCCAGGGCCTACTGTGCCGTTTGGGTATCGAGCTATCTCCTTGATAAGGCACCTGAGACTCGGAACATATTTCCTGAACCGATCAGCACGGCAGGCGCCACCCTCGATCAGAGGCAGGAACATGGCCACTTTTGCTGCCGCATACTCGCCGTAGGACTTCACTGGTCCAAGGACACTGCACCCACCGTTTGTGGCCAATGGAACAACTTGCATGCCCAAGCCGAAGCTACCATATGCATTGAAATGGAGATCCCGCAGCTGCTTAAAGACACCAACCCACTGAGCAAGTAACTTTTCCCTTACATCCATGCCCACTTCGCTCAGAGGTCGAGCTAGCACGTCCTTCATCTTTTGGCCAGGTGCAGTTGCCATCACCATCACCTCTGGTAGCTCCAGGTTCCCCAGCCCTTCACCGCCGTGCACCTTTTGCGCATCTGGATTGGTAGGCGTATCCGGTTTGCCATGCAAGGCTGGAAGGACGGCTAGCACCCGGGGCACAGGAATAGTCGTGTGCTTGGCCACGTAGCCTGGGTTGCTGCTTGGGGATTCAAACTGAGTTACCATACTTTACTATGGATATTTTTAGTACATGATAAAGCTTCCTACTTATACCATACTTTACTATGGGATTTTCTAATACATAATAAAGCTTCCTACTTATAAGGGTAACGCAGGTCAATCACAACTTAATTCAGATACATAATAAAGCTTCCTACTTTATAAGGGTAACCCAGGTCAAGCACAACTTAATTCAGACTCCTCAACAGCAACCCAGTGGCGCATAACCTCGGCCTCCCCAACTGTTTTGTTGCATCCACGCCACCAAGGTGACCCTAGCTTCACAATTACCTGGGTTGCTGTTAAGGA